AGGGGGGGGGCAGAAAGTGGAGACAAAAGCAAATGGCAGAACAATGTTAGACAGCAGGAAAGGATGTTAAAAGATAATTAAAGAACAGTCTGGAGCTTACGAGTGCACTACATCGAGCATGGCAATGGAGGTCAAGGCAATAACAAAGGCGCTGGAATGGATCGGTATGGAAGCATATAAACATGCCCTGTTAGTCACAGATTCGATGAGCACCCTAGAAAAAATCAGGAGTGGGTGGCTCTACAGTGACTGGAGAGTTTCCATTACACATAGCCACCTCCTAAGGATTACATGGGTGTTCTGCTCTGGTCACACCGGGGTGCACGGAAATGAACGTGCTGATGAACTTGCCAGCAAAGCAGCACCCAATGGCCGAATCATGCTCGACCCACCAATGGTGATCGCCAGATGCAAGGAGAGCCTTCATGACCAAGAGGAGACAGACTCCCACACGCTAAGCACAATAAAAGAAGAGTGTGTGCAGGGCATAGCGAAAAAAAGTTTGCTCCGAGGAGTGGTCAGGCGTGTCTCAAACCGGCTCCTCATGGAGACAATTAGCAGGAAGACCCTGAGGTGGACGCTGGAAAGGAGAGATGAGCAGCTAAGGACATGTGCCGCCTGCTATGATTCTAGCTCTGGATCCAAGTAAATCCAAGTAAAGGATGTGAAAGGAGAACATTTTAGAGAAGAAAAACCCGGAAAACCTGGGACATATTGAATGAGAGGCAAACACCTTAACCCCTCTCTCTCTCTCTCTCTCTCTCTCTCTCTAGCATATAAAATCTTTGTCTATGGTCTATGGCCGGGAACCCATTCACATCTGGGTGAAGTGAGGAAAAAATTCATGTCTTTTCCAAAGACACAACGTCGGGCCTGTGGCTCGAACCCTCAAACCAGCAACGTCACGATAACGAGTCAGGTAGACTAACCACTAGACCACCGATGCCACAGCAATATGATTAGTGAAGGGAGAAGGGGGGGGGGGAGAAAGACTTTAAAAAAACAACCTATAAACGCTGGGATTTTTTTTCATATTGGCCATTTTATTCATCTTTTCATTTTAATTTTTTTTAAACATTATCTCTATTGAACAGCAACTGTTAGAATGAGAAACATTCCTCCTAACATTGTAAAAGAAATCACCAAAAGTGAAAGACAAGACATGAAAAGATCACAATACTAGAATTGACAAGCAACTGTAGATATAGATAAATTTATAAATATGACAGCTCATTGAATACATGTACATGAAAACATGTACTCCAGACTTCAAAAAACAACTTACAATCCTGCAAAATAGAACTGCTCAATTTTAATTCAAACGAGCCGTCTGTCGCATCATTAGTCTGAACAAATCATGACACTTCACTTGATGAACCTCACTACCAAACTTGAAATTTCATTTTTAAGCTTTTTGAAAAGTAAATATACAGATCATTTAGCCTGGAAATACAAGTAGATATTCACAAGGCTATCTAAATCAGCACAACTTATTTTGACAGCTGCCACACTTTTGACACCGAAGTATGGTAATAAGTCAGACCTATTTTCTTAAAAAAATAAGCTCATTTCCTTACCACAATCAAAGAAAAAGAGAGCTGAAACTACACAATACAAGTCCAGGATTTTTGGTGGGTCTTTTTTCACATTTATGTCAAAATTCATCTCAGTTTTCAAAGTCATTTGATTGTGGGAAAGAAACGCCGACGTTGCAAAAATTTGATATCTACAGTAGTGGTCAAGAAAGAAACAAATAAAAGAATTCAATCCAATCACCCAGAGTGAAAACTTTACAGCCCGCGACACAAGTCTGATTTTATCTACATATTCTACTCCAGGAGGAAATGTTCCCAAAGGAAAAGGAGAAAGTTCATGAGAAGAAGAAGAGACATTTACTGAGCAAATAAAATGCAAATGTACACAAGTACAAAAACAATGGCCGGGTGCACAATTACTCTGATTGAGGAACGTATGTCTACTCACTACACCTCATTACAGGTCATGTTGCGATGCTTACAGACTTTAAAATAAAATTTAAAAATATTTGTGACCACTATATCACTGCTGTGTACCATCTCTGACACACCCGTACCCTACAAAGCAATACAGTTCATTCTATAAACTATTATAATGGAAGAAAATACATACCTTTCGTATGTACATTTTAGCATATGAATACTTTAGGTTGGAAACAGATGAGCTTATCCACAAAACATCTACATATTTTTGTGTCAGCTACACTTGGGAAAGCTAAATACACATGTATCTTTTAAATGTACATTGTAGTACACAGATACTTTCAGGTTGAATACAGATCAGCCAGTCTAAAATAAAATCTACATATTTGCGTATTATATGTACACATCAGTACACTAATTATATAAGTTCCGAGTTCAATCTTCACAACTGTGCAACCACAAGTTACAACAGAAGTGGCGCATAGAAATAAACCTCAGTCTAAATTTAAAAACAAGAAGAAAATCCTTAAAACCTGAAAGTCATGGAACAAGGGACTGCTTCTGATGAAATCAAATATCTCAGCAATCAAGAAATGATGCACTGAGTACTTGAAATAAGAATACATCGTTTGTGTGGTGCTCCTGAAAAAAGAGACCATTTTGATCACAGAAATACTTCCCTCATTCATGATATTTCTTGAGGAAAATTTAAAAGTATACAGAGAGGTATGCATGAGGCATGCGAGATTCACAAATCTAGAGAGTAGACGTCATTACTTTCAGAGACAAAGTTAACTCAAGAAAACTAATTCCTTAAAGTTCAAACAAATATCACAGCTGACAAATGTCCATGTAATACAAAAATTTCCAACCCCAGTTCTATTTTCAAAGTAACAACAAAGTACTATCTGATTAAGTCAAAAATAGAGTAAAACTGCAATTCCCCTTTTCCACTTCCTAAAAAAAGAGGAAGTCGACCAAGAATGGTCATGGTTACAGGGGTATTTCTTTGCAATATCAAGATAGAAGACTGCTTAGAACTTTTTTTTTAAAAGCAAACTCCCAGACTCGAGTCATTGATTTCTCAGTAGAACACACTCAAAATTCTTGTCATCAACACTCCTCTCTTCCTCTTGTCATGGCTTGCGATGAGCCACTCCACTTGCTCCTGGCTCCATAACTGGTATGCAAGAACCAGGGAAAATGTATAAAACGCTTCAAAATAACATAGAAACAATACCAGACTTCACAGAATCACAAATAATATTATGATAAAATGAGTACGAGTACAAAACATTGGTCGCGGCAGTGTTACCAATAATAACAAAAGTGACAATAGACCGAACACACGACGATATGTATCATGTGACCAGCTGGACCGGCCTAGCCGTTCTGCAGTTTACCCTTGTGAGATGAGCTCTGAGATATTTTGACATTTCAAGGGATTTTCGACGAAAAAGTAGGTAACCTTTTGACCATTCAATATCAATGGGGGGGAAAGAGAGATGGACCAAGATGGGGCAGTTTGGACATAATATATAAGCAGCAGGCAAATCACAACGACTGCTTTACATATGTAAAAGAAATCACCAGCTCCGAGTGAAATGAACGGATGAACTTCTTGCACAATGAACACATTGTTGAGAAGAAAAAAGGCAATCATTATATTGAGTTTTATCTGCTAAATGTTAACTTTAACAGACTTCGCCTTCTTGATCTGCAGTTTAGAATAATAAAACACCTTTGTTTTGATGCTACTACATCTTTTTTATTGTCTTGGAGGAATTTTGGGGAAGTACGGGGACGGGGAGGGAGATTGTGTATGTCAAAATTATACATCCAACTATCGTGCATTGTTTACATTAGCACGTAATCAGTATTGCAGTTCTATCCAACAGCTATATCATTATCACTATTGACATTATTGTTATCATTATCGCAAACTCAAGACTGACAACAACAAAAAAGAAGTAACCATCAATTTTTTGTTCCTACCAGTTCTCTACCATAATATAGCTCCAACAAGTGCTTAAAAATCACTTAAAATGAAAAAAATCAATCCCTATGCAAAGTCAAATTGCATATCAAGAGAAAATGCTATTTAGCTCATTTTATCAAAGTGCTGCTTCTTTAAAACCAGAAAAACCATTAAATCAAATACTCCCCAGCTACTTTCTTGAACTCAAGGAAATATTTTGAGGCTAAAACATTCATTTCATTTTAATCGCTGGCAAATTTTCACAATCGGGATGAGGAACCTGACTGAGCACTCTTTTTTAAAACTTTTGTTGTAACTGTGCTCAGAACAAGATCAAATAATTTGGTGCTTTGTTTTTTTGTGAAATCTAACATGATTTTGAGGGGAGGCACATACCATATGTTAAAATTAAGACTTCAGTACAAATCTGCTTCTAAACTACGTTACTGCAGTAGATAACTTTATATTTCTTTCACTTTTCAAGGCAAAATAAAGCACGATTAGTTTAGCAGCATATGATAAGGTGAAGAAAATGACCAAGATAAAATTAGTTGCTGTAACAGAATTCCAAGCAAACTGTTGAAACCCAAACTAGAAAGAAGAAGAAACACCACCACGTAAAATACAAGAACAAACCGTGGCCCTTCAAAACTACTCATCGTACTTGTAAACACTGAGATCTTTAATAACTTTTTTTTCACCTAGATCTAGCAACAAAATAATCGTGAAGGAAGGTAAAAATTTTAGAACCAACCCGCTTTTACATAATAGCTCCTTAAAGAAAGTGGAGAAGGATTACTTCCAATTTTGTTTTTTTCAGTCTCCATTTATCGAGGTTACGTCTTCTTGTAACCAATAGATATTCTGATCTTTTTCTCTTTCGTAAAAGATCTAATTTGTTACTTCTGCAGTGAGCATTTTGAAGCTGCATTTAGACAAATTCTCAGCTGAGATATTTCAAAAACTACAAATCTGACAGTTATTGTTACATTTTAGAAATGTGTTGTATGACCAGGCATTTTAAGATATATACTTCTTATTAAAGCTTTCGTAAAAGTATGTTTTTGCTACTATAAAGAAATTTAGAAGCAAAAACTATCTGGTCAGAGCTTGACAAAATGACAACTTCTAAGAAAATTGAATAAAAACTAAAAGGGGCCACAGCTGTTCAAGTTGGACATTACCTAATTCAAATTACAAAAATAATACTTTCTAGAAAAGCCAAACAAAGAAATTTCAATTAATTATTTAAAAAAACACAAATTCTGTATATCCCTTTATATCTGAAAATCATAAACCCAGTAAAGGTTAAGTGTTAGTCTGGTAAAAGACTTCATAAAAAGCTACACCCAAATGCAAATATGAAATGGAATATGGAAAAAAAAAAAAAGAACCCATGATTAACTACTTGCCCCCAAAGTTTTCAACCTGTGAAAATAAATCTTTCTAAAATTTTTGGAACATCCAGAAAATAAACTTTGTAATTCCGGACTTATACGTTCTGCCTAACTTTACAATAAGAGAGGGAAGCACACATTGTTAACAGCAATGTTATTAACTCTATACACTCAGTTATATTGATGGACCATATCATGTAAATGATAGTCCATGTCATATAAACAGAGTGTTAAAGATAGAATATTGCACTTCAGACTTTAATGAAGTTCGAATTATCAAAAGGTATGGAATGGCCGACATAATCCAAAATTAAAAGTGGGGCAGTGGGGAAAGGGGGTGGGGGAATTAATCTACTAGATGTCTTCTTGACATGAACATAATTTAGAATTTGTAGATTCTTTGCCTAAAGCATTAGAATTGTGACATAGGAGCCAACTATGGCTGTGTTCCAAGATTAAATAATAAAAACATCTTAACATTCAAAGGTTTTCCTATTGAAGTATTCAATGCGTTTCCCAGTGATGCTTCCCTCTCTTTCTCTCTCTAAACCCCCCAAAAAGGCAAAATAAGCTAAATACCAAAGAATAACACCACAAATTATAAAATCATGCATATGGAACTACAAGACAAAAACCAAGTCTTGTTTTATTAAAAAAAAAACACCCTCTGTAAGTAGTAAAAAATCTGATTAGACACTGGTTATTTCCTCAAGACATTGAAAAAATAGCTGTTCCTACGTTATTAGTATCCTCCCTGCTGTAGTCTAAACTAGTGATGCTGAAATTGCACACGAAACTCGCTAGCTGTTTACATTTCATATGATTAAAGTTTTTTTTAATTGAAAATTCATTTTGCTTTGAAGGCCATCCCATGATGTACATGTAGAGATTTGCTAGTCTTGACTGTTTTTGCCTAAAGGCTCCAAATCAACTTAATCCAAGAAATTCTATTTTAATACAATGTCTATCAGCTGAAGGAAACTAATTTAAATGTTAAAAAATGATTTTAAGTTTAAACATTAATTTTGTATAGGTTTCTGTCCTCAATAGGATTCACTCTCTCTAGATATATATATATGCTTCCTGCATGTTAACTTTGTTGTCAGTCAAATCTCATATCTAGAACACTATGACGTCTTTAGCCACAAAATTTACAAATGTAAAATGGCGAGATTTTACTGTCTCTATAAATAAAATTTGGATTTCCATGACATTATTCATTATTACGATAATTAATCATTATCCTAGTTTTAAAAAAGACAATAGTAATATCATTAATCTTCTGATATCAAATGCAGATATCTGGCCACACCCAACTCCATCCTGCTCCCTATCACCTCTTGTGGGATAGATGATGCATATTCCTAAAATTACAGATGCTACTCAAAGGTGGTATGAATAGCTTTTTTTCTTCAGCCAAAACACCTGGACTTGTAACCTTGTCTCAAAGATGACTTGTATAGTAAGACGCAAGTCTTAAACCATGCATTCACATTCTTATCCTTTTTCCAGGGAGTCACATGGTGTGCATCCTATCTCAACAGTGTCTTAAAAAAAGAGTCAAAGCTAGCAAAGAAAGTTTGCAAGTTGAAGTTGGGTAATACGCCATTAAATGAACATGTGATTTCCCTATTATGCATCAGTCCTGTATGAAAAGATATACAGAGAAGTCCTTCATGCTCACAACACTATAGACATTTGTTGCGAGTTTTGACATGCTAAACTTCCCTACACTGGCTTGGCTATCATCGATTTTAAAGAAAGTTGACTACAGAATTATATTTCAAGAAAGCAAAGTCTTTTAAAAGAGTTCTATTTGATTATAATATGAATTAAGTTCACAATCAGTCTGATGCAATGACTTCACGGGGCGGGGGGGAGGGGGGTCCTCTGAGCAAGTCCTTGCCTTTTCCTCTTTATAAATCAGTCTTTTTTTTTAATTTAGAGAATTCCAAAATTTTATACAAGGCCGTCAATATAAAAATAAAATAGTTCAATTCATGTTAAACTTTGCATCTAAGTTTCCTTTGAACTACCAATCTTTTCTGCAAACACAAAAGGCCGACAACTTCAGTTGAAATATTCAATATGACAGTCCAAGAAAAGTGGTCATTGCTTCAGACTGAAAGTTTTTGTGATAAAGGCACAATATCCAGCTCTAGCCCATCAGCGCTTGTTCTTTCTTTGAATACATATATGAATTTGTACATCCATAATATTAAGTGTGGAAGTGGAAGGGAAATTTTAGTAAAATCATCTTGCAACATTTGTTGTTTGTGACAACTACAACAAGACAATTCTAATTAAATTGAAATACATATTATATCAGTAAGTCGGCTTTTCTCTTACTATCATTTATGTTGCCACTATTATTACCGTCACTGAGACGATCATCATAGCGGATACTTTTTTAAAAAATCTTTTTCGATCTAAAACTATCATTAGGAAATAGGCTGCAGCTGTATCTACACATAATTTGTGCTACTGTTGTTACTGCCATCTTTCCTGTAACTGTCAGCTTTTTTTTCTTTCTCTCGTCTTCTACTTTCTGTCTTCTATTCTGCTTCAAGGGATTTTAATTGAAAGCATTTGCCCAGACACCTTGAGCCTAGAACTGAGTACTGTGTCTTGCTCTTTTTCCTTATCTCATTGTCCAATGACATTTGCAGTTCATCTGTCCATTCAAATCCATGGTTTGGAAGAAAAAGGGGATTTAAAACAGACAGAAATAGAAAAAAGATGAAAGGAAAAGGAGAAGAAGGGAGAGAAGGGGATGGGAAAGAGGGAAGAGGCGTAAAAGTGGGTGACACTTTGCTATCTCCTCCATCTTATCTGCCAAGTGTCTTCATGTCTGATAATGACAATAGCAATTACTCTTGGCACACATTTCGTGGTGACAGGTAAGACATTGCTGGTGGAAAAATAGTCAATTTCAACTCATTTATGACCATTTTTAAAATTCTGCGAATGGAAAACAATTGCTGCTTGCAGCCAGGGATGGATACAATTTTTCTATTGAAAAAATCCTAGTTTTGACATCAGAAGCAGGACACCTTGCACATGAACTTAAATCATAAACAAAACAGTGAAGTGCTTATTCACGACTTTTTATTTTTCTTTGCCATAAAGAAATCTTGAATATTGTGAAAAAAAATCAGGTAAAAGCCCATCCCTGTGCAAAGAGAAAAAAAACTTATCTAGCAGACTTCAGACAAGTAACTTGAAACCACAGTATGCATATTGTCATTAATCCTTTAAGCAGAGTTTAGACTGAGACAAGCAAGAGGCCAAAGAGGGTAATGTTAGAATGGGGGGGGGGGGGGGGGGGAGACTTTTAAGTTCAATAAGAGTTGGTTTTTTCCTCATAATTTAAGTCTCAATAGGTTTCCTTTTTTACAATTTTCCTCAAAGTCGAAGACAAGAGAGTCCATAGGAAGAATGAAAGAAGAAAAGAGGAGAAAAAGGAGGATGGGGAGGAAGGGGGGGGGGGAATGAAGGACACTTTTTTGGGGAAGATTTTGTTTTTCTCAGAGCTCATACTAGGGCAGCCTGCAGAGAGGCATAGGTGCAGTTGGAACGCTGGCAGATGGGCTGGCTGTGGAACATCTTCTCAATGGACAAAGGCTTGCGGCAGCTCTCGCAGTTCTCAGGGTAGATCTGAGTGTACATCTCAAGGCCAGAGTCCTGCATGGGAGGGAGGGGAGAGGAAACAGAGGAGGGGGAACGGTTAGTTGAGAACATGGGAAGGGAGCTAGAATAGGCAACAAAAGATAGACCTAATCATTGTTGTTCTTACTCCCTTATTCATCCATCTTAATGTTGTAATATCATTGTGCCTACTGACATTTTCATAGTCAATGATTGTCTGAAACAAATAAGACCACTATCATGACCCTCGGAAAAGGGACACAGCACAAAAAATTTAAGTTCAGAATCTTAAAAATTACTCAATATCACTCGGTAAAGATAATGATGAATGAGAGAGGAGTGTACTGGTTGCTCTGACAGAGTAAAAAGTAAAGTTGTTCCCACATCTGATCCGAACGCTGGGGATTGCCTTGTTAGTGAGACAACTTCCTGGGCCTTCGGCATATTGTGGTTGGGTGGCTAGTTCCTTTCCACGCCACCTTCACTTCCCCAACTTGAAGTTAGGTACCCATTACTGAGGCTCGAACCCGGACTTTCTGCTTTGGAGACGAGTGAACTAACAGCTCTGCCACCGCACCCTCTGAGGGAGTATGTGACCTGAAGATGTCCTCTGTCTGCTTCTTTCAGAAATTTGACAATCAAAGCTGCCTTTATTAGAATTGTTGTGTCCATGTTAGTTTTAGTTTTAGTAAGAATTTTACGGCACTTGCAATACAATTAGGTCGTATTAAGAGTCCAAGATCAAAAGTGTTACAAAAGAGTAACAAACACAGTAAAGATAAAGATGACTGGCGTTTGATAGTTAAGAAAGAGCAAACCAAGAATCACCTGCCAAGAACCCTCCAACCCTTTTCAATTATGCCCTGATAAAGATAAAAACAGCAGAGTTACCCCCGAGTATCGTGACTGCCCATCGTTCAACCAGCTCACTATTTTGACATTTTCCAATCAGCCACAAGTTCCAACCTTCAATGCTGATGGGACCTTTTTGTATTTCCTATACCTCCATATTCCGACCATCACTCTTCTTTTAAAAAAATGTCAATTCACATTTTTGTAAAAAGAAGATAGTATTAAGCAGATTTCACTTAATATTTTTCCATCCCAAAGAGAGTAATGTCCAAACAGCTCTAACGACCGCCTGTCTGAGACAAGGCAAAATCAGCTGTACAAACGACCACTTCCCACTTACACCCTTGCATTTGTTTTTGTTCACTATTAGGTCCCTTCTCTAGCGCCCAAAAATAAACGGCTCTAGGCATTTTATAATGTCATATCATAATGAAACTGTTCACGAGGGCCAGCAGTCTTGGACAGAATCAACTGTACCTTTCCCTGTCATTTTATGCAAGAAAAATTCTGAAATTATGCAAACTGAGCCCAAAAATGTGAAATTATGCGATTCTGTTAATTTTAACAAAGAACGATAAAGGAAAATAATCAGAAATTATGCAAAAAATGATCAAATTTTGCTAAATTATGCGGGGTGCATAAAACCATGGGGACAGCTGTATGCTTTCTAGGAAATTGAGATTGTTTCAGAATGCTCTCAGGTCTGCTGGGGTAATAGTATAGATTGTGAAGCGCATAGAGCTTGCTGTTGAGCGGGGATTTGCGCTATACAAATGCTATCTATTATCATTATTATTTGTACTTTATAACAAAGACACCCAGCACATCCAATTTTTCTGCTCCACTCACCTTCCACAGCTGAGTGAGGTCACCCACAAACCTGTCCATCATCTCGCGGGTGTGGTGCGGGGTTGGGGCGATCCGGAGACGCTCGGTTCCCTTAGCCACAGTTGGGTAGTTGATGGACTGGACGTAGACTCCGTACTTGGAAATGAGGTCATTGGACATTTTGGTGCAGATCTCGGCGTCACCAACCTGAAACATCACACACCGACACATGAACATCTCTCTTCTCCTCATTTTCAATGCTTTAGTTTTATAAAGAGTTTTACAGCACTTACAACACAGTAAAGTCATATAAGTGCCAAAGATTAGAGGTGTTACAAGAGAGTAACAAACAGAAAAAGGAAGGAGGAATAAGGTTGAGTGATGTTTGATAGGAAAGAAGGAGCAAAACACACCAGAGCACCCGCCAACCACCCACTTTCAATGCATCTTTTGAACAAAGCTTTCCTCCTAAACAGAGAATATCTTAAGGTAAAAGTACACTTTTAACATACACATGGTTCAAACCTATGAAGATACTTTTGTATTTAAAACAAGCTCAAAATAGTCAAAATTTGCAGCTTAAAATATATCAAAGTGTTGCAGGACACATGCCTCCACTTTTTTGTCTCAACTATCGCACAAAATTATTTAAATTCCTCAATAAAGGAAGAGTAAGGAAAGAAGCAAAACAGCTTACCATAACTGGGATGATGTGACTGGGGCTGTGCTGAGCTGGCAGACCGTTGGAGACCAGTTTCTCCCGCAGGTACCGCACATTGGATTGCTGCCTGGCCCGCAGTTCTTGTCCCTCTTCGCTGGCCAGCACCTGAACAGCAGGGGACAGAGACGTGTTATAGCTACCAGACATAGAAGCTGCACAGAAATTCTCGTGAAGTTTTACTTACTTTCGCTAAAATTGGTGTTTAGACAAACGAGATTTGGCATATACCAGAAAGGCAGATGATAACTTTGCATAAATGAATCCATTTGATATGAGAGCAATAATTAGTACTATACAATACGAAGGCCATTTACACTGAACTGATATTACTTCAGACTTTGCTGTTTTAGTATAGTTAAACTTTTTGTAATGTATCTGCTGACAGTTCAGTTCCTCTAGCCACACTGACAGACCTGACCAAGGCTTAATGGATGAAGAGCAAACTAGAATAATAGAAGCGAAAAAAAGGTGGGTCCACAGATATTTCATTTTACCTCTCAAAGGAAAACAAAAAATAAACAAACAAAAGACACTTTGGTAACAACGTGATAGGTTTCCAGTACTTGAAACTATTGTAAAGAACAAAATAACACCTTGAATGCGTTTGAATCAGCCATAACAATAGAAGTAACGGATAGCATAAATGTAGATGATTTATCTTTAGTACACCCCCATCAACATTTTAAAAGTAATTTATGACGCAGGCTTCGGCCCTGCCTGTCGGGGGTCAACCAGGGCAGAGAGGGTGACAACTTCCCAGTAGAAACACAGACATACTCAACATAAATTCTCCGTCTAAGGGCACACCACAGATGCTGGTCAACGGATGATAATCCATTGTTCAAAATAAAATTTAAAAATCACAAATGAAAATTGAAAAACAAAAAAAATCAGCTTGGATTAGAAATGCCCAAAGTACCTTGACTGAAGCAAGACAGCCGGACAACACAGTTGGGGGCAGGGAGGTGGTGAAGATGAAGCCAGAGCCATAACTACGGATCATGTCCACCATTTTGGCCGAGCCCACGATGTAGCCACCCATGTTGCCAAAAGCTTTGCCTGAAAACGAAAAAGAACGAAGTTGAAAGAATACCTCAGGACAAGAGGTCAAGTCAAAATGAGTTGAGACGCACAGTCAAAATTGTACAAAACTGCCACCCACTGTCGAGGAGCAAAGTGGTAACCTGATGGTTAACAGGTGCTTTGACGAAGTCGGTTCCCCGTACTTCTTTACTTTGTTTGTACAGTCCTGCCACACGTGTAGCAAAATATCAAAAGCAAGACAGTCCTCCAAATAAACCATTTGAGAAATGAGAATCTGAGGTCACCCCTCTCAAGTTTTTAATGAGCTGACGGTAGAAAGGTGCTTCAACATTGTTAATTCCTTGTTCTTTGAACTTCTTTTCTTTGTCTTTTCTTTGTTTCTTTTGTTCTACCCTGATCCAAGTGTGGCATAATATCAAAATATAAAATACACACAGACCATCATCTGAATACACCATGATATGAGAAATGAGAATCTGCTGCTATCCAGCGACTGACCTAGAGTTCCCGAGATGATGTCCATCTTGTCCAGACAGTTGTCCTGCTCCCCAACACCGGCCCCGTGATCCCCGTACAGCCCAACCGCGTGGACCTCGTCCACAAAGGTCAAGGCTCCGTATTTATGAGCCACGTCACACATCTCAACTGTTGGGCAAATGGAACCTGAGGAAGAGAAACGATTATGGGATAGCATTAACTCTTTTGCATACCACAATTACTATTTATCAGCACATGGTTATACAGTGTGGAGAAAGGCAGTTGTATATCGGTACATGAAACAGAAAGAGCTAAAGCTTTTTTACTTGCATGTTTTCAATTGGTTTTTCTTTTTTTTAAATCAGCCACTACTTTATGTTAAGGAAAAAAACCCATGGTGAACCAGATACAAAAGAGGATCAAAGAGAAGCAAACATCATAATCAATGTCATAATACATTGAGAAAAAAACTCTCACAAACAACCTA